CGTCGCGACGGCGCGGCGTTCAGCGCTCGGACTCGCCGCGCAAACCACGACGCGTGGCGCATGTGTCGACGCGCCGCGGAATTTACGAGGTTTATAAGCGTCCGTCAATGCTCGACGTTGTTTACGCGTAATGATCCTCGTTAACGTTAATTAACCTTGTCATTCAATTACCTTTTCAGAGATATTGGCATACTTGTCTAGTCTTTTTTTTTAGTCTATTTTTAGTCTTTTTTTAATCTATTTTTAGTCTTTTAACATTTAAAAATGTTTAATATTAAATCTGTTTTTTTTTTTAATTAAACTGTGATTTATGTTCGAAAATTATTCTACCATAAATTAATTTTAATCTTGATTTCAACTTATTATTTATCTTTTTTTAATTCTTAAAACTAGAAAAAGATGGAGTTGAATAGAGATTAAAATTAAACTGCATTGGTAGAAATGGAATTAAAAAGAGATAAAATACAGTATAGTTCGTATATTCAATAAAAATAAATTACAAAAGTAAATCAATATGACAAACAATTAGGTAATAAATAAAAAAGAAATAATATAATTTCCTATATTATTTTAATTTCGAGAGTATAACTAGTAATTCTTATTAAAAAAAGAAATCTCATTATATGACATAATATTTGTGCCTAAAATCGGTCTTAAAAACACAGTCTTAAATTTAACTGAAATGATATTATCATAATTTAAATTGAACGTCAATTTAATAATAATAATACTATAAAAAGTATCTTTAAAGATCTATAAAAAATTTATTGTAAATAATATTTGTCACTTACAATCGAGTATTAAAACGCTTTTTACTTTGTAGCTTTAAAAGATTATCCCTGAAAAGATTAATTTAATACCATAATCCTTGTGAGATTATAATTAGTTAATTAAGACTATTAAGAGATTAAACTGGATTAAGTCGATCGCCAATGAATTGTTTGTACAATTTGAGATTTTCCATTTTTCAAAAAGAATTTGGAATAATATTAAACGGCACAATCAGCATAAATATATATTTATATAAAAATAAAAAATAAGAGCCGTGCGAGAAAATTTAGCAATCACGTTTTTGGAATAAGCCTTTTTTCAAAATTCAAGTATCTCTTTTTCAATTTCACGCTTCAATTTCAGCCAGATTCATTGCTAATTAAGGAAAGATCTCGCATTGCTATTTGTCGCCAATTAATGCGACAAGCAGCAAGTCGCGGCGAGAGATCGCGGCGAGAGATCGTGGCGACGGAATTCGCGACGCGCAAACCAAGTGACCAATTTACTGGTTCAATTTCAAGGCGTCCTTGATTGGTCATTAGACCAGTGCTACGCCCTATCGGCGGCATTTCGTATCAGTTGGTGGCGCACAGTGGCGCATGCATACTCCGATTTGAGGCTCGCCGTGGATCACGGCTGATCACGGCTTCCGTCGCCGTCGAGTGTTCGTTCTTGTCTCGTGGCGTTCGCAGCGGAATCGTAGGAAAAATGGCGACGGAGGATATTGACCGTGCTAAGGTAGGTACAAGAATTTCCTCGCTCATGCATGCCGCTCCCCGACGCGACAGACGCGGTTTCGTTAAACAGCCGAGACTCGCATGTGTCTCGCGTCATCCTCCAATTCCGTGTCTCGTTCGTGTCGACATGCATTCTTGTTTGATGAACCGCCCAGGCAATGTTTAAAACGCTTCGCTATCTCGTGGAATGATCAATGTATCCCTGCTTGTTGGCCGCGAATATTTCCTCTTTCTTCTTTCTCTTCTTCTTGTGGAGCATTTTTTTATATTGTTTGATATGTGTGCGAGTATGATTGGATATTTAAATCAAATCTATGAGTCATGTGTTGTCATAGCCAAGGGTGTTGGCTGTCAAGCATCATAACTGTACATTGAATTGAACATTCCTTCATGCATCTATTTCATCCATTTATGGATACCATTTCCTCTCTTTTTTCTATTGCTTCTTCTCTTTTTCTCTGTGAATTATAATACCAACATGTAATTTCTGTGATTAGATCGAGTGTATGCTACGTACACTGAAATTATCGGGTCACGTTGGATTTGACAGTCTACCTACTCAATTGGTGAATAAATCAGTGCAAAATGGATTTGTATTCAACATTCTCTGCATTGGTACGAAGTGTTAACCTTATCTTAATGAGTTCTACATTAGGTGTTGAGTTAAATAGATTGTAGCAAATACTAGTTTTAATTTATTTGGATAGGTGAAACTGGACTCGGAAAATCTACACTTATGGATTCCCTTTTTAATACAAGCTTTGAATCTAGTCCCAGTCCTCATAATTTACCATCTGTAAAACTTAAGGCACATACTTACGAATTGCAAGAGAGCAATGTCAGACTAAAACTGACGATCGTTGATACAGTTGGTTATGGTGATCAAATCAATAAAGAAGATAGCTTCAAAGCAGTCGTCGATTATATAGATTCACAATTTGAAGCTTATTTACAGGAAGAGTTAAAAATCAAACGTAATCTGGCAATCTATCATGATAGTCGCATCCATATTTGCCTATATTTTATATGTCCTACTGGCCATGGGTAAGTGTATATGTTAAACTAATATCATATATCTTGGTCATAAATATAAGTACCTTCAAACATTGTTGTGAACGTTCTATATCTAAATATTCTAAATGAAAAAAATTAAAAGACCATTTTATTAAAAGTATTATTTTATAATAATATTAATATTTATAGCCCTCCTTTGGCTTATTATTATCAATACTCTTGAAAGAATAAATTGAGAGTGCTTTATACTTATGGCCGTATTAGTGAATTATGAAAGTTGCTTTAATTTTATATATTCTTATACTTTCAGCTTGAAATCTATTGATCTAGTATGCATGAAAAAGCTGGATACCAAAGTTAACATCATTCCAATTATTGCTAAAGCAGATACAATATCAAAGACTGAATTACAGAAATTTAAGGTATGTGACAATTCTGCTGAAATTATTTTCGTCTACATATTTATTATATTTGTGTTATCTTATTTATTATATTTGTATTTCAGAGTAAAATAATATCCGAGTTGCAAAACAATGGAATACATATTTATCAGTTTCCGATCGATGATGAAAATGTAGCAGATATAAATGCCACCATGAACACTCACGTACCTTTTGCTGTCGTCGGTAGTACTGATTTCGTTCGCGTCGGCAATAAAATGATGCGTTCTCGTCAATATCCATGGGGTACAGTTCAAGGTAAAGCTTACGATTATTTTATTTTGTTATATTTATATTTGAAGAAGCTGAAACATTAATTATACTTTATGTTATAGTCGAAAATGAATCTCACTGTGACTTTGTAAAACTACGTGAGATGCTAATAGGTACTAATATGGAAGATATGCGCGAAAAAACGCATTGTCGCCATTATGAACTCTACCGGAAAAAGAGATTAGAACAGGTATATTTTATTATTTTTGTCAGAAAAAACAAAAAATTATCTTTTTCTTAAATTTCTTATTGTGGACTTTCAGATGGGTTTTAGTGACGTTGATAGCGACAACAAACCTGTTAGTTTTCAACAAACGTGCGAAGCGAAGAGATCCATTCATTTGCAAGAATTGCAACAAAAAGAGGACGAGATGCGTCAAATGTTTGTCGCTCGAGTGAAAGAAAAAGAAGCCGAATTGAAAGAAGCAGAAAAAGAGGTAATCTTGTTTTAAACTGTGTTAAATATATGTATAAACTCCATTTACTGTGTTTATTATTATAGCTATTAATTAGTACTAATGTTTATTGATTTTTTTTTATACATATAGCTACATAGTAAATTCGACAAGCTAAAGAAAGATCATACTGAGGAAAAAAAGAAATTAGAGGACAGTCGTAAGAAACTTGAGGACGATATATTGGAATTCAATAGACGAAAAGCGCAGTTTGCGCAGCAACCCCAACATCATACGCTAACATTAGGCAAAAGCAAAAAAAAGTAAAACGTATTTCATCATGATGACATCTTTTTATACCATTTGAATATGATCATGCATTTTAACTGCATTATTCAATAGTAGTATTATTCTTTAATTATGTATACCTGACATTATATTATTTTATTTTATTATAGAACATTTTTATATATATATAAATATTCCGTATATATTAAAATATATACCAAAAATTTTTTTTAGAAATATACTCTAAGTCGCATATGTTTCGTATTATCTAGAAATAATACTCTAACAAAGACTAATGTTCAATCAAGCATATATTTTTAAATTAATTTGTAATGAATTTGATTTTATACGAAATATATGTTTAGTATACAAATTAAAATATAATATCCCTTTCCTATAATTATCAATTAAAAATAATTTTACAATAGCAATGTCGAAATAAGACCTTAATAAGCTCGAAATAAAAATAAAAATAATATGGATAACTGGCGAAGAAAACAATACTCTTAATATTTAATGAATACTTTTATATTGCGTATAATATTATAATAAGCGAAACTATTTTGGAATCGTAGTATTTGGGAAACAGTAAATTTTTTGTACTACGATTCCAAAAATCATAGGAATTATAATTGGAGTGGATGATAATCGCATTTGCAGGGTAATAAAAAATATGTAGTGATGTGCTAGTCATAAAATATTTGAAAATATCTTACTGTCAAATATTTTATTGTTCAACAAAATATAACAACCGACATAATAGTTTTGAACTTAGTTGAATAGATTAAGATAAATGTTGCGTACGATATATCTCGCATATTAGACAAAATCTTAAAATTTGCGAAAGCCTAGTGCAGTTATGAACAAAGACTAAACATACATATACAATGCTATCGTAATATTTTATTAATAGCCGAATCATTATGACGAAACAATATATAGACAATAATTTGTTTTAAAATATGTTTATCAATATTATACTGCTTCAGTATTCTACTATAGATAATAACCCAAATAAATTTATAACAGTTTAATATCATCAAAACATAGTTTCTTTTGTTTTATTCATCGCATGTTAGCGCAATATCAATAACGTAATCTATAATAAAAAGGCGCTTGACAAGTTATATATATATATATA